CTGCGTAAAGCACTGGCCGGTTGTTCAAGGCTGTTCCTGGCTCAAGCTCTCCTGTCAGTTACCGCCGCTGTTGGTCATTAGCCCTTTGGCCATGGCTGCTGTCGCTTAGACCCTGTTTAGTCACCTTAGGACCCCTCTGGACCTGTGCCAACTGTGCGGTGCAGTGCGGTGAATCGAGACCAAGCAAGAAAGCAAGGGTGTTAGAAAGGGGCGTCTTTTTTCCTCGCGTGGTTGCCCGCGCAGCGCGCCGTCATGACGTAGCGCGGGCAAGCTGGAGTCTGGGTGGAGTGCGTGGTTGATGGTGCTGGAGATGGCTGGTCGCGGCCAGAATTGGAGTGGTGATGATTAAAGTGAGAATTTTCTCAGAAGTATTATTCTCGATCGCGGTATACAGGAAGCACTCACCGAACATTACCTATTAATACTCTGCCGCAAAAATGGGTGGTCACATGGAAGGAATTCTAGTAGGGACAAATAAATGGTGATGATAGCTAGTGTTATGGGACAGGCATTGTAAGCCACAGTACTATGAGGTAGTCCCCATTATTAAAGCTGCTTTATGGATAAGGAAACTGAGGTTACAGGACTTAGCCATGTGACTTTGGGCAACTTACTGAACAACCCATGCTCAGTTTGCTGTGCTCAGTTTGCTCATTTGGGAAATTGTGATAATAGTAGTGCCTAGGGCCAGAATGGATTCTGGGAGGGGAATTTCTAATGGGTGGCAGCTCTCCCCATCTGCCTGTTCCACCAGGTAACTTTTGCTCCCAAGTTATAATAGAAATTGTGTGGACCTGGGGAGTCTCTGTGCCCACTCCCTGCAACTCCCACCCTGTGTCCAAAAGTCTAAATATCAGGCCCACAGGAGGCCAGTTTGTCCTCCTAATCTCCCTCTCTCATTCTCCACCATTTCCTACTGGGTTGTAGGCTGGGGCCTGAGAGATAAGCGGTCTGAGGTTTAGCATCGGCTGACTAATAGATTGACAGCCCCCCCACCCAATCACCAGGCCCTCTGACTCTCTTGAAGATACCAGTTCCAGCCTCTTCTTCCCTTCCATTCTTTCCATACTTGAACATGTATTATCTGAGTGCAAGAGGATCATAGGCCTAAGACCTTTAAACCAAAGAAAGCACATACAGTAGTATACACTGACGAACATTGTGGGATTGTAATGCCTGTAAAGTAAGAGAGTAGAGAATATTCTCTAGAGCCAAAACTCATTCTTCTATACAATCACAAGAGGTTCATGTACAGCAGGGGTCACCAAACTTTATAAAGAGCCAATGGTGGGACCAGCAGTTAGCACAATGGCTATGTTGCTGGACTCCCATGTAGTCGACCACGGTTCGAGTCCTGGACACGGTGGCTTAAACTCACACCAGGTGCGTGTGCGTGTGCGTGCTCGTGCGTGCCCAAGATCCCAAGAGGAGAATGGAGGAGAAGGGATTGCAGCATGGCCATCCCCCCATGGGGGGTGATTTCTCACTTTCTGTCTTTCTGTATGTCGGGCACGCGCAAAAGCCGTATAGCGAAAACCTCTCCAAAAAAAAAATAAAAAAGAAGAAAAGAAAAGAGCCAATAGTGCATATTTTAGGCTTTGCAGGCCACATATGGTCTCTATCGAAAATTCATTTCCTTCTTGTTTTGGTTAATCTTATAAAAATGTAAAAGCTAAAAAAAAAAAAATGTAAAAGCTGTGCAGTCTGGGTTTGGCCTGAAGGCTATAGTTTGCTGATCACTGCCACGGAGTATCAATCCTTGGTTTCCTTTAAATGTCTGGGATTTTTTTACAGGATGAAGGCAGGAATTCCATAATTTCTGAGGAGGGGTCTTTCTCTCTCTCTCTCTCTTTTTGAATTATGAATTTAATTTTATATATTATTATTATTTGACCAGACAGAGTGAGAAAGCAAGTTGCCAGGTCCAGGATTTCACTCGTAGTTGGCCATGTGGGAGTCCAGTGCCTTCACCACCATGCCACCTGCTGGCCCCAAGGATGGGTGTCTCTTTTGTGTAAAGTGTAAGGACAAGGATTCATGGACAGGGCAAGGTCACTTCTAGTGTTCCTCTACCGTGTCAAACAAATGTTCCTGGACAGAGTTAGGACAAGGATTCCTTATATATTCCATAATCTTGTTCCTTACTAATTCAAGCAGAGGATTCTGTTTTTAATTTTATTTTTAGTTTCCAGAGGGCTGTGTGCTCACCGGAAGGGAAGATACACTACTACCCCAATGGGGCATAATCACACTGCAATCCCTTCTTCATTTCTCCATCCTGTCAGGATTTGAGGCATGCATGCACATGTGCCTGCCATGTTTTTCAGTCTATGGGGCTGGGACTCTATGGTAGGCCACATGGGATCTAGCTCCCTAACCACTAAGGAGTTTCTATACAGGATAAGACAGTAGTTTCTAGAGAACTATAAACTAGAGGTTCCTGTACAAATTCAGCATGGGGCTTCTTAGCCTTGAGAATGAAAAGTTCCTACAAAGAGATCAGATGGTCCAGTACCAGGTCAGCACATGTTACTGTACAGATTCAGAGCTTGTGTTCAGATGGACAGTATGACCATCTGTTTATGTCTGGATTCAGGCCAGTAGGCTAAATTGTACTAGCTGCTATAATGAACCCAGAAGCTCAGGGGCTTAACAAATAAATGTTTCTTTCTTGCTCATACAAGATCCAAAATGGGACCAGCCCATGGCATGGTGATTAAGGTGATTGGATCCCACAGGGCCGATTGCAGATTGAGTCCCAGACCTGGTGACTTGAGAAACACATGGGCCCAAAATCCCAAAAGGAGGGAAAGATAGAGGAGAAGGGATTGCAGTGTGACCATGCTCCATAGCAGCGAAGTGCTTTCTCACTTTTTCTCTCTGTTTCATATGGCATGCGTGCTCTCTAGCAAAAAAAAAAAAAAAAATCCAATCTGAATATTTAATGCTAAATGCTGGTCATTCATGAACCCAGGCAACTTCCATTTTGTGACTCTGCTCTTCTCTAGGTCCTGGGAGTTCTCATAGTTCAGTTAGTAGATGGAGAAAGAGAGTGGAGGATTACAAGCGAGGGGGAGAGAAAGAGAACCCTCCAATGGGGTGTGGTCAAGTCCCAATCCTTTTTCCTCCATTTCTCCATTTTTTCAGGATTTGGGGCATGCACACATATGCCTGGGTTGTTTTTCAGGGCCACATTTAAATGGTAGTCAGCCATGTGGGGTCTAGCTCCCTTAACTGCTGTGCCACAGGGCAAGCCCACATGAGAAATTATGGGCCAGGCCTGGTAGTGGTATTTTATTATTTCTGCCCACTCTATTGGTCAAAAGTCTTGTTACATATCCAAATCTTACTGCAAAGAGGGTTGTAAAAAAATTAATTCAGGAAGAATGGGAACAGATTTCTATGAGCCTCTTGTAGTGTCTGCTGAAGGATTCTACAGATGAGGCGTTGTGGTGCCAAGTATGTTAGCCACTTGCCACATGTGGTCATTGCCTTTGGAAAGTGGCTAGTCTAACTAGAGATGTCCTTTAAGTGTACAAAGCATGCCAGACTCAAACACTTAGTATTAAAAAATTAAAATATCTCAGTTTTTATATTGAATACATGTTAAAACAACAATATTTGGACATGTTGAGTAAAGTGCAATAGTATTATATTAATATATTAAAATTAATTTAGTGGTTTCTTTTGTCTTTTTTTAAGAATTACTATTTTTTAAGAATTATTTATTTAATTTTATTTATTCATTCATTTTATTTTTTAATTTGGCCAGAAAGACACAGACAGAGAGAGTAAGAGAGAGAGGAAAAGTGAGAAAGCAAGCCACCAGGTTCGAGACTTGAACCGTGATTGGCCATGTGGGAGTCCAGCGCCCTTATCTACCACACCACCTGCTGGCCCAAGAATTACTATTTTTTT